TCTCATATTAATAATCATATTTTAAAGTTTGGTTCGCAATTATTATATGAATATCAATTGCGTATAATTACTCGATATTTAAATAATTTTCACCATTTGTCGATTGTGCAGGCATATGGAGAAATATTGTTATCGTTACCAAAGCAATTTAACAAATAAGTTCAAATATATCACCAGAAAAGATTTTTGACGAATAAATGAAAATGCTAGAAAGTCGATTATACGATCAAATTCCCGTGATTCACCATGATAGAGATACGATAAAGCTCGATTAAATATAAAATAAATAAAATGATAATCATCGGTACTGCTTTACCTGCTTAAGTGCACTCAAAAACTTTACATCTGATAGTTTGCGTACGTTCCATGATCGTTAATTGCTAGAACGAAACCTAGGCTCGTATGAATAAAGTTGTGGACTCTCGGTATATGTGAGCTTAAAGTCGAATATAAAATTAAAGGGAATATCACGAGCTTTTTTTGGGCTTTTTTTGTTATTAATTTAGGCGGCAAGTAGTAGGACGTTTCTAACATTGCAAATCGACGGTTTTGCACTAAAGTTTCAAGCTAAAGTTATAATAGAATTTTTATTAATATTTTTCTTTTCTTTACCAAATTTACCTCGATCAGTACCTGATAAGTTTTGATGTTTATTGTACAATTGCTATTAGGTTGGTACACTTTTCTGTCTTATACAACGATTTCTCATATTCTACAGTCAAATTAGATTTCATTCGCATTAAGGTAATAAATAATATTTATTTTTTATCGTGCAATGACATTTGCAGAAGATTCACGATATCTTGATATAATGCGATCGCCGTGTACTTTTAATAATATCACTGCGTAATGAAATTTTTATCATCACTTTATCCATCGATGCCATTCTTAATTAAAACGTGAATAATTATTTTCATTTCAAAGATATATTGCGATACTTGGACAATTCAAATTTAATATCTAACTGTCCAAACTAAAGCATTAGTTTTAGACGATTTAAATGCGTGTTATAACTATATTTCAATAGTTAATTTCTTTGAATTAAAAAATTTAATTTAGATACTTCTTAGGCTTCAAATTAATTATTATCGTTGAATAATTATTCGAATTATTTTATAGAGATTTTAATTTCTTTAGATCTTCTAAATTTGAAATTAGTATAAATTGAATATAAATTATAATTAATGTAAATATCAATTGATAAAATTACTTATGAAAACAATTTTTCTGGTTAATACATTGAGAAGTTGGCGCGAAAATCGACAAAATTTTCCAATCTTTTATTGCCAACTATATTGGAAAATAGAATTTTTTGTCCCCATAGAATCAAAATAAAATACGAGTGTCCTACGCGATTTATCCTACCCTTAAGCTATTTCTTTGCAAATACTTGAGAAAGTTGAAAAAAATTACTCGAAAATTAACCGTGCCATGCTCAAAGATAATAAAACGATAAATGATTTATGGGAGTGTAATTTAATAAAAATAATTCAGGAATTTAAATGATAAATGGTTATAAATTGAACGAGCTAATATTTTTTTTAAATAATGAATTTGTAATACCTCTTATAATTAAAAAACAATGGATACTAATGGAACAGTTGTTGATATTAGTTACGTGCAAGTCCATTCGAAGCGAAGAAATATTCATCATGATTGCAGTAAGATGATTTTTCTGATAAGATTTCTTGTGTGCATTGTAATTTAATAAATCTAATCCACTTTCTCCAATATAATCTTACAATCTGTAATTCACAATACAACAATGGAAGAAACGCTAAGAAAAAATCTATGTACACGTTTCGTTACCATCTATCAAATTATATTAGTTGACTGGACAAAAATAGAGATCCTTACCATAGGAAATTCCGCAGCGAGTTTCAATCGAACGAAAAGAGAAATCTTCCATCGATTAATGAAACTTACTGTCACACTAACCCGATATTAGTATTATATAAGAAAAAATTACGTCTTAAATTACACATTGAAAAAATTATAATAAAATTATATCAAAAAAAGTATTTGTATGCCTTATAAGAACATTCGATAAACGACAAATTTCCGAACTATCGAAATATACGTTGTAAAAGTCAACTGTCAGTATTTTGGAAATGTCAGTCAATTATTGAATCTACTTGAAAATTAAAAGAAAGTCTCGAGTCTAATTGTCCCTCATCTTTTATTAAGAGAAATCCATTAGCATTTATCAAAGTTGCATTAATAAATTATTTTTTACTCTTTTAAATAAATCGAATAAAATATGAAATTTACTTGAGAAAGAAAAATAAAATCTAATAAAATAGTTATGTAACTCACCAAGTAAAAAAAAAAAATAAATAAATAATTACTGTGGTAATTAAATGCTTAGAATTTCTTGTGCTACCTTTGGAATAGTAACTATGGACGTTAATTATATTAAAGACGATGCATGAATTGTATATACAAAACGCTCCAGCATTATTTACATTAATCTCTGAAAGTAGGGGATTATAACTGTATGTAACTCGTATATTAATAATTTTAATAATCGACTAAAGTAATTAAATAAATGGACTACTACAATAAATACTACTACTACTACTACTACTACTACTACTACTACTACTACTACTACTACTACTACTACTACTACTACTACTACTACTACTACTACTACTACTACTACTACTACTACTACTACTACTACTACTACTACTACTACTACTACTACTACTACTAATAATAATAATAATAATAATAATGACTAATAATAATAATGACTAATAATAATGACTAATAATAATAATAATAATAATAATAATAATAATAATAATAATAATCTTATTAAAAATAAATAATAAAAAGTTATAAGTATTTGTTTGTTTTTTATAAAAGCACAGTGGCTCGACATGTAAAAGTTCACAAATTAAATTATAATCAGACTCGGATGTAAATTAATCGTACGAATTTAATGTAATTAAGATAATATAAAAAATCTGAATTTTAATGTCGTAATGATATAACAGATTGTGCATTGAATATTAAATGACGAGGCATTAATTTTATATCCGAAATATTACCGAGTTGTTTCAGCGTTACGGTTTACGAATAATGAAAGCACGGACCATAGATTATTAACGACACATGATTCTTAACAATATTCATCAAATTACACGTGACTGCAAACGAGCTTATAATATAAAATAGCAAAATAATCAAGAAAGCTTTAAAAGCGCTCTGTTCTTATTAAGCGAGCCCCTTTAGGCAAGGCGCTGGCACTTATTTGGCATATTATAATAATGTTCATACATACTCGGTATGTGGGCTGACTATGAGGTTTCGCATTAAATTATTCGCCGAGGAGTGGAAGGCTTTTTGGGGAACAATTTGATGTAGGAAAGTGAGTGGCGCCAGCCACGAGCTGCACTGACATTAAAAGTCCTGGCGGTTCCGCCTTGGCCGTGTTAACTTCCGGACATACCTCTTCTTCCGCTTTGCTGTCGCCCCGTTAAGAGCTTTTATCCGATCTTATCGTAGTCTGTATGACCCAGTGACACGACGAATCGAGTGGGACGCAGATATCTAGAGTCTCTGGATGTTCGCACCTCGATGTTACGGAAAGGTAAAATAGTGTTTGTGAATGACGAACGGCTTTGTTTTTCCCGAGCAATGAGTTTGGATACGAAAGTAGTCGGTCGATTCCATATTGTTAAATCAGGTCTTTCTTATACTTTGTGTACTTCGTATACTTTGTGTTTATTAAAAGCATAATATACTGTATTTAATAGTAATGTGATGTTGAATGAACTGCAAATCATCCAAACGACTGAAAAAGGAATTGGAAAATCGTATAACTCTATGATAGAGTGAATTGAGTAGTGCCGTTTTACAAATTTTACTGTCTGCCTAAAGAATGTATTCAGTGCATTTACTTGAGGAAAATGCTCCTGCCGAGTTTTACATACTCCCTGTTTTAAAATTTTATGAGCCCATATGTGATATTCCGTCATTATTCGATCTCTACGTACTTTACATCTCTCTATGTCTATGTTTAACTAGAACACTCCACAATTTTACGAGCTTAGTTACATATTGTGTATTTACTCTGGGCTTGCACAGCAAAACTATGAAATACTCTCCCTTGACTTCGTAGTTACGATTACTATATATTTTAAAATAAAGATCACATAAATGTGAAACATTTATAGTATGTATTTATATTAAAATTGTAACAAATGTATCAATATTTCTATTGAATATTAGATTCCATAAGTATTTTAAAAATACACCCAATGACAAATTAATTGCTTTATTCAGTTAAAGCAGAATTTACGATCCTAAATACCCAAACGCAGAACCAATTTTTCCTACTGATTTAGAATCAATCATTTTTATTTATTTCGAACATAATTCGAATATTCTCCTATAAACTCCTATAAAATAACTTTTTATGCTTCAACTTCATTTGGTCGAATTTTAATTGCATAGTAAAGTCATTTTAAGATATTAATTAACATAATTAATACGCGTGTTCAAGCATTGTCCCCGGTTACGTTTTTCTTCCTAAATATTATTTTATGTGTACGTAAAATATGAATGATAATGAATTGCGAAAATATGTGAACGATCGTTATTATTGTGAATATCTATAGTCGATTGTGTATGTCGACTGCGTATTATTATTATTATTATTATTATTATTATTATTATTATTATTATTATTGTTATTATTATTAACACCTGCGATATTAAATATTAAAAATTAGAAAAATGAATATAGCGGAAAGAATACCAGGAAATCAATAATTATTAAAGTGACAATGACACAAAAGAACAAGTTATTATTGAATTATAAACTAATAATTGAAAAATATTTTGCTAAATAGCGAACTATAGGTTGCTCATTGTTCCAATGATAAGATAATCGTTTAATCCAAACAATTATATAATGATAAATATTTCCTTTGATACTTGTTTCTAATCTTTTAAACTAACACCCTGCACATTTTGATTGATTACAGGAAATATAAGAACGAAAGCCGTATTGGATGTTGAAGTAAAAGGTGGTTATTGGCTAACAGTTTACGCTCAGGATCACGGTGTCGTTCCACTTAGTTCGAAATTAGAGGTACGATATTCTCTTTTTTAATTAAAATATTGATATATTAAAAGGAATCTATACGAGTGAAAATTTCTTTTTTGTCTCGTATAAAATTAGTCTTGGTTTGTAATTTAAGTCATTAATATTTTAAAATATTCGACACTTGTTTATACTATTATTCATTGTTAATGTAAAAAGCTTTGGTAAAGACTCATTAAGTCACTTTATCCTTTTGTAGATTATGCGACAATAAGTATATGAAATTTTAATTCATTGTCATTAACGGATTTTGAATTTTTGAATAGAATGTTATTTATCCAACTATGATTTTCAAACTTATTAACAATAGTAAATTTCATGAAAGCTGACAAGTTAGTTTCGCAACTGAATCAGAATATATCAAATAAATCTTATTAAAAATAAACTTCAATGAAATTCTATTATATTAATTTGAAGTTGAATATTATAATTGTATATTATTGAATTACTATTATCATATATTTCGGTTGCGATTAATCGTATGCTGACGAAACTTATTTCTTAATAGTCGTATTCGAAGAGAAGATATTCGTTAAAATTATACTAGCTGTACATATATAATATCTACTGTTATCTCTCTCTCTCTCTCTCTCTCTCTCTCTCTCTCTCTCTCTCTCTAATCGACTACTTTCTTTTAAAACGTGTCGTTTATTTTAATCCCATTTTTTTCATAATCATTTTTTGTTCATAAGTAGAATTATTCTTCAATTATAAACGGGCTATAATGCATTAAGAGAATGTCTTTAAAACTATGATATCTATTGTACAAATAAATATTTTATTCAAGAAAAATAAATCGAATATTTGTTTCACTCGTCGTACTAAGCAAATTCATATTTATCTCTTATGTTAATGTATAATTCACTCATACGCGCATACATGCACTATATAAATATATAGAGAATAATTCCAATTCTAATAAATAATGCAATACATAAATTACAATAATCAATGAAATTACTAATATAGTTGTTTAAAGAATAATATTAGTTAAATCTTTTTAAATTTTCAAGGTACAAAATGTAGTATGATCTAAGCATTTTCTAACTTAATTGATTATTTAATGGATTTCTTTAAATAAATCAGTAAAATCGCATGGTTTAACAGTAAAACCACGAATTAATAACTACTTTATTGGTTAAAATAATCGCTTCTCTCTTGAAAGAATTTTGAAAATTGGATCTGAAATATTATTGTAAATAAGATGTATAATTAATATTCCAATATTCATATAATTATATATATATATATATATGTATATAATTTGAAATTTGAAATTCATATAAGAATTTATAGGCAGTATATTATTAAACTTTTGAAAATTAATACAAAGTTATAAAATTACTTATAAAAATAGTGAAGAAAAAAAAATGTCCGTAAGCTAAAAGAAACGCTAATAACTCTTTTAATAATCCAAATAATTTTCTTTAGTTATTTTTATTTCGATGACGTCGAAAATTAAATCCAATTAATTTTAATAATTACCAAGACCTCAAACTTGTTGAAATATTTTTTAATTATATTGTATAATCGCTTAAAACATTAAGTATCACTGTATTTTATTATTTCCGTAAAATGCAATTTATTCTCTTTCACATTGTGAAATTTCATTATTACAAATTTGTTTTTTTTTTTTTTTTTTTTTTTTTTTTTTTTTTTTAACTAATTATATATTTAATAATTGTTTAATATTTCATAATTATAATTTGTATTCAAAACTTGTTTCATCTATCTCATGAAGAAATAAAATTTTATAATTGTTTTTCAACGGGCTACTTCATATGATTTCTCTAATAGTAATAACTAAAATTCCGTTTTTTATCCATTATTTCATTGTTAATTCGTATGACAAAATTTCTTATTCGTGGTTTAACAGATTAATGGCCCAGTAGATACTATTTGGCTTAATGTATAATTCAACAAAAACCTTTAGCCATGTATTATAAATTCCTATCAGTATAAAAGATTATATTTTTCATATTGTGTGCGTGCTACTATATAAGCTCCTCGAGATTCAATTACAAAATATTAGGAAATCGCCGGAAACACAAATTATTCCCTTAACTTCAAATGACATATTCACATATTCGCATATTTCAAAGAGAGATGGATGTAATTATATTAGAAGAAAGTAATCTTTCATTTTGACATTTGTAATATAAAATATGAAAAACCAGGATTTATTCTATTAAATCCGCTAAGTTATAGATATTTAATTTTTGAACTATTTTTTTTTTTTTTTTGCATAACATGCATTATAATTTATCAAAAAAGGTGTATTTAAACACATATAAATAAATTTGTCCTTTAAAATTTTTTCTGTATTCATCTTATAAATTTTCTCGTATTTTTCATCTTATTCATTATTAACATAAGACGTCTCATTTATTTTGCCTGAATAGCCGAATACGATATTTCTTTGCAAACGTGTAGGCAAAATAAAAAATACATAAAAAAATTAATTAAATATAATAAACAAATAATATAAGATGTATTTAATGCAGAAACGGCCTCGCTAGTATCATTTACTGCATAATCGTATGAACGTCAATAATTCTACCAAGTTCCAAATGAAGATATTAACGAAAAAATTTGAAAATATATGTTTTTCTGTTATAATATTGTTCTAATAGACTAACGTTATATTGAAAATCTACTTATACCTAAAATTCGTTTATATCCAATAATCCGAAAGCGCAAATAATTACTTCAAATTTACGTTTAGTTTTAGTAAATAGCTTTTTATCAATTTTGTATCATTCTGACATACAATTGGCCTGATGATGCTTTTTTTTTTTTTTTTTTTTTTTTAAATTATTATTATCATCAAACGAAGCATGAATAATGTAATTTCATTTTTAATACTATACTACCTAAAAATAGTAAGAGTCATGTGATTATCTTTCATCGTGAAACCATTATAAATAAAATATAAAAAGTGAACAATAAAATTGATTTTACATAGATTAATTATGTAATTTAATAACGTTTAGCCATAAAGACATTATTTTACCTTAAAATCTGCGTATAAATTACATATCTGCATGGAATGTTTGCACCTGATAAAAAAATGTTTTGTTGCTTAGGTGTACATCGAGGTCCAGGATGAGAACGACAATACGCCACTTACCGAGCTGCCAGTCTATTACCCATCAGTATTGGAAAATTCGCCGGCAGGAGTAAGTGTACTCCAGATGCGGGCTTTCGACCGGGATGTCTCACCCCAACATTTCACATTTTCCATCAGTAGCGGTAACCCCGAAGGTTACTTCCTCATCAACTCGACGAGCGGTAAGTAATGCCATTATTCCCCTTTCATTTATCAGCAACACATGCGGCTAATAAAACGATCCGAGTAATCTCAAATAAAATATTCACGATTGCGAATTGACTTTAATCCAGCCTTGCGCGTGATGTTTATGGAGTCGCGTTGCGAGCGGGAAAAGTTAAGTGACGTCCGATTACCAATGACTATTTTTTCCTTACCTGTATGTTAAGGATTCTTCATATTTCATTATAATGTTTGCAAGAATTGATGGGGGAAGGAGGAGGATACTTGTAGATATAAATGAAATTATAAAAGTATTTTAGCTCTCTAAAATGTCATCCGGGGAGTCGTACTTTCGAGCTGCATAATTGTAGATGAGTGTGAGCGGAGATAATCATAGCTAAAAATAATCGTTCGACCGATCATCGAGTTGTTCGATTAATGCCTTTGAAGCTTTGGGTGCAATGTGGAACAGCGGCATTGTCGTCTCGCAGGTCGCAAAAACTTTAGAACGCGCGTATTAATAATGTTCCATATTGTGCGATGTGTCGCGAAATTCTGTCAAAGGAACATCGTCAAATTTTCGTGTGTGCGCGCGCGCGCGCGCGCGCGTGTGTGTATACGCGATTCTACGTTGAGCAAACATAACCAACGAAAGAGAAGCACTCCGATGGCTTTTCACTTTAAGCTTTCTCCATTGGGATCTGCTATTCCATAGCAGCGGATGATATTTGCGTTGTACAAACCGAAAAGGAGCCGACCGTCAATGAAGGGATTTTGTTCTTGACTAATCTGATTACGCGGAACGTTTGAGTGTAAAGGCACGTTCATCGAAATACTGGAATCCTTGCAAAGTGTCTCAACTAAAAAGCTGCATCCTGTTGTTATTATTGTTATTGTTAGAAGCCAGCAGGGTTACTTATATTGTTTTATTTACTGAATTCATTTATGATACTAATATTTCACTTGGGTACTATTTTTCTTTTGTGACAACGAGTAATAAAAATGTAGAATAGGTATAGGTATGAAATAATAGGACTTTGTAAGAAATAAAAACTGTTACATACATAAAATTGATTTTAAATTTCAATTGTTAATTTATAATTAGAATATGAATAAATGTAAAGATTAAGAATCGATTCATTTGTAAATAAATGTCTATAACTTAAATTTATATTAATTATTTTTTCTTGAGATACGCCACTAAGAGATTCACTCTTTGCAAAAATAAAACTATCTCTATGCTCTCATTTTCCATTCAATCATTTTTCATAATTATTACTTAACTAAATAAGTATAAATATCTATGTTCATTACAAATAAATCGCATAGTAAAAAAAGTGATTTTTGTTGTTGTTGTTGTTGTTGTTGTTAAAAAATAACTTTTTTGTTAACAGGTTTAATAACGACTAGTGGACGAAAACTGGATCGAGAGAACCAAGCAGAACACATTTTAGAGGTAAGTTATAGTAAAATAAGTCAAATAAGTACAAATGCCTACGCGATACTTACCTACGTAAACCAATGGTAACTATCCAATCTGCCAACACTTCCTGTTCAATGCTTCACGTTCAAAATATCTACAATTAGATTGACTAAATCGTTGAGATTGCCTATCGATTCGCTGCCTCCCTTACCTCCTTAACACAAACCTTATCTTTCCGCTTTCTTTGATGTTTTCCCGGAAACTCAGCTATTCATAAGCTATTTCAGACAACCTACAGTACTTTATTAATTCTCGAATTTTATTTTCTGTATTTTCCTATGCTGCACCGTGAAAATATTGACTTTTCTTTTCCTTTCTAAAAATGATTCCTACCAGAGCATAACTAATCTACACAAGATTATTGTCAATCTATAAAAATTATTTTCAAAATATGTAGTTTGTTTTATTGAATATTTGGAGATCTTTTAAATGTATTAATTCTTCTATTATATCATACAGATATTATAAATCAAAGAACTGCTCGTTCAATTGTAAAGCAATTAGAAACCATACAATAATTATCTAGAACAGGCTGGGTAATGCGTTGCTTCGTATTTTTTTCATATTCTTATTACAATATCGAACGGATGTATCAGAACTTTATTAAAAACTTTAAAAAATATATTAAAATATTTATTTTTATTTATTAATTAAATAATGTAATTTAATTCATTGGAAAATACAATTGAATATGTAATTTGATAACGTTGCAACTATTTATATGAAAAATTAAATAAAATGAATCTAATACTTGGATAAATATTTAATCATTGTAAATACTTTATAAGATAATTAAATTTAAAAAAAAAATATATATATATATATATTACAAACACATATGAATGTTTATAAATCTTATAAATTTTTATTACTCGTGGGCAAATACTTTGTTGGCAATCTGACTTTGTACGTAGAAAATAATTTTTACAAGCATACGCTTTACATTGCTAAATAATTTTTGTATAAATACAGGTAAACATTTATATTTCATTAATATTTTGATATTATAATTGAGAATTGAGCATACCTATTATAAATAATAGATTACTGATCTATCTGCTTCTAGTTAATAGTTACGTTAAATTTACAATAATTTCACAAAGACTTTTTTTTCACCTAAATCTTTATCTAAAGACTATTTATAATAATTCTAGATATTACCAACATTCGGAAGAAACGAAAATAATGTTTTTTGTTTTTTCGAACATTCTCGAGAGAAATAGTAGAATATATTCACCATATACAAAATAGTTAATAAATTAAGCGCATGTTGACAGCGTATAGTGAAATTATATTTGTGATACTTAAATTATTGATTTAATTACTTTAAATTGCAACTGAGACTTACAAATAGTAACCAATAGAATCCTTGAAAATGTTGTAAATTACTTTCATGTAAATGGATTAACATGTGTCGTCGTGGGTTTTTTGGAATTTATTCTGGCTTGCACCATTCAATATTGTCAAACTGGAAATGAGAAAGAAAATCGTATTGGTTTGTGATAACTAGAAAAGTAAAAAAGGACGAGAACTGCTCGAACTCAATCAAGTTCTTCAGTGTGGCCTGAGTATCATCAGTATAAATAGAATTACTCTATACTTTAACAATATATAACTCAATCTGATCTTCAATAATTCATAATGTAAAATCACTAAAATCAACCGTGTAATAGATTTAATGTTATATATATATATATATATATATATATATATATATTTTTTTAATTAACTGATACATTTTAGCTCACGTTTTTTAATTACCGTATATTCAAGTATTGTGTCTCTTAACTAACATAAATGCAATCATCAAATTATCTATATAATTTTTTATGTAATTGAAATAATTTATTATTTAAAATGGTATACGAATTTTTCATAATTCATAGATAAAAAGCAAAAAAAAAAAAAACTAAGATACGAAACATTCAATTTATCATGTAACATATACTCGTCACGCACGCAAAAACACGCGTATACACTCGCTCATTAACATTATACATAGTTTATCGTATAAAATATTCATAATGATATAATACGTTTACAGATTGTAACAGCTGTGGTTTTGCATATATAATTATTTAGAAAATAAATAATGTTAAAAACTAAAAACAATTATATTATTACTAATTATTAATTCATTAATAATTATTGAAACATAATTTATATCGTTTCTCTTTTAATTTCTGTATAATTCCATATTTTTGAACAATAAGTTATTTATTATTAAATTATATAATAAAAATAATCACTTATATCATTGTGAAATGTAAAGATGATTAAATAAATTTTTGTGCTAAAATGTATTAAATAATTCCTATAAATAAGCAAAAATAAATAATTTTATATAATTAATTGAACGTCATAAAACATATCGAACGATTAAACAAAATTACATTGAAATTTGTTTTCTACTCGGTAGTAATGTAAATTGTACTTATATAAAATTAATATAGGTTTATATAATAACAGAAATTCATTCAAAAATATAATTTATGGATCGGTAATATAACAGATAAGGTTGATAAGAATTTACTTAAGCATTTACAGTGAGTAATGAGATTTTCAAAGAATAAAATTTTATATATATAAATCGAGCATAACAAGAATATCAGTGAAGTGCAAATTAAATTAGATTAACATAAATGACCAGGTTGGATTAAATATAATAGAAAATGAGAACTTTAACATAATAACAGAAACCAATCTATCTAGTAGACATATAAACTATTTTGATAAGGTATCGAATGCGCATGAATACTAAACTTAAACAGAATATTGCATAATCTATATTATTAAGAAGTTGCATTTAGAGTAACTTTTTCCCCAAGATGTATTTTTTATATTAATAGGTATCGATAGAACCTTAAATACACGTATATTAACACTATAAAATTTGAATTCATTTATTTTCAAAGATTCACATCAATTAATAATTACCAATTTTAAGCTTAATTTAGAAAATATAAATCTGCATTAACAATTTAACAGTGAGTATTATGTAAAAGTAAATTATTCGATTAATGAGTGTGTAGTGCATTATTAGTATGGTTTACCACCAATGATGAAAATATTATCTAATTTGTTAATCTTAAACTCATTTAAATATTATTTTATATTTCAATATCGAACGAAATAAAATATTCCTTAATAATTCAATATAAAAATAAAGAAATACTTAGATTCAGTAAATAAATATTTTCAAAAAATTATTATATATTCAAAAAACCGTAAACCGACTATGTGCATATTAAAAAAGAATTTATAAGATTTGCTTACAAACTAAAATATTAAAAAATGTTATTGAGTTAATTGCGAAGATGAACTAGATTATATTCATTCATATTAATTTCTATAACCTATCAACAAGATATAATTTTAGTAGAATCTTAAAATAGTAATAGTTTAAAATAATATTATATTGTTTTTCAAGAGAAAAACATAGAATCTATAGCAAAGAATTAAAAAATAAAATTTGAAAAACATATATCATTATTATTGCTGTATCTATCATTTAGCTTATACAAATTAATGTAAAATATCCAAAAATCTTAACTTAGCATAGGAAAAAATTAAGCAATACGCATACGTTTTGCATTATGTAATAATATATTGTATTTTGTTCAAACACATTTTCTATTAATTGAACATTCTAAACACTTTAAAGAATGCTACATTTTACTCATAAAAATGTGAATTTTGCAATTGTTAGCGGTGTTATATTATAATGTTATTATTGACTAAAATTATTTTATTGATTCACTTGCTATATCAATCAATTTGTAGAAAATGAAATCATAAAAATCTATATGTTTATAAATTTTATAATTTATCAAGAATAATAAAATACATTTTACCGAATACAAAAATCATTTTTTAAATATTCATATATATATATATATATATTTTTTTTTTTTTCGTCCCATAGATGTACGTAGAAAAAATTTATTTAAATGATAGAAATGTTATCACTTCTAAAGAAATCGTAATGATTTTAATAATAGATTTTAACGAATTTAGTATTAAAAATTCATAAATGCTAATAAGAAAATGGACAACGTAAGTTTATAAGTAATTCAAGAACATTTAAATATAAAATTTTGTCAGTACTTCAATGTGACTGACTAATGCTTCATAAATTATTAATAAAACTTATAATAAGATCATATTATATCATTTCGTGGTAGATGAATTCCGTATTTCAACAAATATTATATTCATGTATAATTAAATCATTCGATTAAGATGTGTTAGAAAAGTACTTAAAATGGAAAATAAAATAGCGGTATATTTAAGTTTATGACTTTAATAGGACAGCTAAAAAGTAAGAGATTTTTTATATGGACTAAGATGAATAGGAGAAGATAATATTAAAGTGGATTTAAGAAAAGTAAGGTACGTTTAAATATTTTAAATATTGCAGTGCTTATTTTATATTGATAATGCCATTAGCTTATGAAGTTGTAAAACTGATTAAATAGAGGAATATAAACTTATATTTTTATCAGCAACGTAATTGTAATTATATTTTAAAACAATAAATAAAAAATAACTGAATATAAAAACTTTTTAAGAAGGTTTTAAATTCCATACCCTTTATGATCCTGAATACATATTCTGAACTCTAATTTTATCTCACGAACCCTTACAACATTCATTAATCTTATATTCAAATAATAGAAATAACTAGATTAATTGTGATAAAATATATTTAATAATTTTATGGCATATATAAATTATAAATTAATACCATTATTGTCTCTGTAGAGTGCATAAACGAATGATTATAATTCAAATATTAGTAATAAAAATTTTAGTAGATTAATACATCATATTACCTATCTTTATATTTACATTAAATATTTTTTTTTTTTTTTTTTTTTTTTTTTTAATATTTTTTTTTTTTTTTTTTTTTTTTTTTTATACACTGTGATGTTTATACAATTCGTGGATTTTGTAAATATTTATTTTTGCAA